TTTCTTTTAGTTGATCGATGGAGTCGGCACCTCCATAAATGTCGTCAACGTAGCGACCTTTTTTGAGTGTTTCTACTGCTGCTGCGAAGCGGTGACCTTCATCCTCTCCCAGTTGTTGAAGGACTCTTAGAGATATCCATGGTGAACAGTTGAGCCCATAGGTGACTGTAGTCAGTTGATATGTGATTTGTTGATTCTCCTCGTTGAGCCACAAGATTCGTTGAAGATCCCAATCGTCTTGATGAACTCGAATTTGGCGGAACATCTTCACGATGTCCGTCCCAAAAACGAATTGATGTTTCCTCACCCACGTGAGGACGTTGACTGCATCCACTTGCAGTTTTTCTCCGGGATATAGAATATCGTTTAATGATATTCCTGTTGAGCTGGCACTGGAGCCGTTGAATACGACTCTCAGTTTTGTGGTGACAGCATCGTCTCTCAGAACCCCATGGTGCGGTAGATAATAGGCTGGGGATGGTTCTGGAGTCTCTGGTGCTTGTTGAAGGTGATTTAGCTGATGATACTCGTTGATGAAGGCTTTGTAGAGGGCTGAGTACGCCTCATCTTTTTGTTGACGTCTCATTACCGAGTGTAGTTGACGTGTTGCTTTGAGTCTCGAGTCGCCGAGGGCTGTTGCTGAGGTTTTCAGGGGGAGCCTCACAACATAGCGCCCCGTCTCGTCTCTGGAGTGCGTTGATTTGAAGTGCATCTCGCACTGGTGATCCTCTGGTGATAGCTCATGGCACTCTGTTGATTTGTTGATTTCTTCCTGGACCCAGAATTTTTGGAGAAGCTCGAGTAGCTGTTGGTTCGCGGAATTCCGTACTGCAGTTAAGGAGATTCTCGGTGAACAGCTGTGGCAATTGATTGGACCTGATATTATCCAACCAAATGCTGTTTGTTGGCCAACTAGTTGAGTTGATGTTGACTTGATGACTTTTTCTTTGATGATCCGCCCATAGTTGTCTGATCCTATGATGATCGGCTAGTTGAAGAACCTGTAGTGAGCCCATCCGCGTTGTTGAACATGAGAATGATGGCAGTCGTGTGGTGAGTTTTCTCAAGATATGTGCGGTGATTTCTACTTGTTGATTTCCGATATTTGATTGAAGCACGACTGACACGACTCCTCTCGTTGTCCCTGAAGGTGTTCCACCGATTCCGATTAATTCGAGCGTTGAATGTGCTCGTT